TTTTTTTTTTTTAAGACTGAATAGTAGTCTGTTATGTATATATATATATATATATTTATCCATTAATCCACTGATAGGTTGGTTTCATATCCTGGCTATTGTGAATAATGCAGCTCTAAATATCGAAGTGAAGATATTTTTTCAACATACCGATTTCATTTTATTTGAGTATACACTCATTGGTAGGAGTAATGAATTACATGGTAGTTCTGTGTTCAAGTTCTTTGAGGAATCTACACATTATTTTCCATAATGGCTGTATTAATTTACATTCCCACCAACAATGTGCAAAAGCCCCATTTTCTCCGTGTCATCATCAACAGTTATCTTTTATTATTTTCATGATAACCCTTCTACTATCACTTGTGATGTGATATTTCATTGTAGTTTAAATTTGCAATTCACTGATAATTAGTAGTAGTGTGCATTTTTTATATCCTGCTTTATAGTGTTCATGTGATATTTTCTTGCTGTCTCTGCAAATTTCTTTTGCAACCTGTATACAGTCGATATGTTATCAGTCAATTTTGGGTGAAAATAATCATCTCTACTTAATCAGTAAAATCAGCTTTTATTTTCTTTATCTAAATGTGAAGTGTCTTAAAATTACAGGACATATGTAATTTGTATACTTTATATTGCATTTATTTTATAACCAATCAATTAACTGAACCTGAGTCAAGGTACAAAGCAATATACTGTAGATCTCAGATTTCACTAAATTCAGTAAACTCATTTTAATATCATTATGGAAAGAACTGAGAAAAGAAAAACACTGAAAATATTTAAACTATGTTAGCTTAGAGTGTAAATTTTAAAGGTCTCACTACAAAAAGTAAGTGAGCTGATAAGTATGTTAATTAGCTGGATTTCATCAGCCCGCATTGTATACATATATCAGAACCTCACATTGTACCCCACAGATATGTTAATTAAAATAATATTAATAAAAACTTTGTAATAGAGCAGATGTTGAATTAGAACATGCTTGATTTAAAATAATATTCATTTTGTATACTTTAAAAGAATATCCATTTTGTCAAATTTATGTGACCATTGGCTTTCCAAATATTTCCATCAATGTCCTCACCTTTTTATCTCATCTGTAATGCCTGTGTCTAAAATGTCCTTTTTCCTAAAAAGAACACTTGAATAGTTGGTGAGAGGTCATTTGGGGAAGACTGGGGCTATTTTATATAATGAAACAGGGTTGTGATCTGAAGATAATACTCTCCCTGAAACACATTGAAAACATTTCCAAATGATGTCAACATCTCTGGATCAACTGCTACATGTGTCTTATTTCTTCTTAGCAAAATACCTATTTATTATTAAGAACATTAAGTTTGGGATAAAATGATCCTCCACTGGAAATCAATGTCTGTAATATATTAGTTTCACTAAATATAAAATATTAATTGTAGACCTCGGTTCACATTAGAGTTATAGGATATCCCAGTCTGATAAGCAGTGGAGCATGGTGAGCCATAAGCTGTGGGCTCAAGTCTTGACGCTGCCATTTCTGATCTAAAGAGTGACCTTGGTTATCATTTTGAAGGATTCTGTGTCTCCATTTTCTTTTTTATAAAATGAGAGAAATAATTGTACTTATACCTCATATGATTTTTAAAAAAATAAGTTAACATAAATAAAGTGCTTAGAATAATAAGCAGTCTGTAAATGTTGTGTATAAATGTTAGCATTATATCTGTCACCTAACAAGCACCACAAAAATATTTGTTACCCTTAGCAAGTTTTCTGTATATGGTCGGTGACATCTTAAAACAACTATACCAAAACAGGGCTGAAATGAAACTGCATCTTTTCTTATCAGACCTTACCTTTAGAGTTACTTGTCTGCCATGCTCTGTTCTGATAACTTCATCTGACTTCTTCTTCATCAAGCCTAGATAGTTTCTTTCAGATTTTAGCTATTATACATGAACTTAAAATCTTGTCTAAAAAGTAAATGATTTATTTATATGTGAATATTTCCACTGTTTACTAGTTTTTGTTGCTTAATCTCTCCAAGATCCCTCCTGGTTAGGAAGCATCCCCGTAAATATTATAATAACAGTTTGCATTCATGTAGACCTTCTTCACATTTGTCAAGTGCTTCTTTGTTCAAGAGGTGAGGTCAGTAAGGTGGACTTTTATTAAAGTTATTGTTTGCAATAAAATTTTCTATTATTACTTGATGGATAGGCTTATCAAAGCTTCTTGTAGTCATGATGAAAATATATAAGTGTAAGAAAACAGAACCTGAGAAGGCTATGTTTTGAGGCTATCTGAGAAGGTTAAGAAAATGTTTTTACTATATTTTCCCAAATTATAAAATGTAAGTTTAGTAAAATTCAATGACAAACTCAAAAGAGGCAGAGATGAATTTTGGTTACACGTCTTCTCACTTGGGCTTGTTATCCTGCAATGCTCATATTTGTCCCAGGTCATTGGATATCTCTGCTCTGATGAGACAAGCATAGGAGTGAAGCGTCAGGCCCAATAATACACATGTTTATAACTGATTCCCAAATTTGTGGGTAAGTAGGACTTGTTCAAGATTCTGGGTATACTCTGAAAATCTGAATTAAGTTCAGTGGAAAGAAAACCATACAAGAAATAATGATTACTGATAAAAAGAAAATACACAATTCATTTATGTAACACTTGGCAATTTATAAATCACTTTCTCAATCATCATCTGAATTGAATGTGTTTCTTTACATAGTTATGAAAGTTCCAGTATTTAGAAGTCAAAACATTTCAAAATACTTGAAGGTTTACAGTTACCGTAATTAATAGGTACTGCAGTGGGAAAATATTTATTCATGCCCATTTTAGTTCATCGTTGATACCATTCACAGAGGGGAGAAAGTAGAAACTATTGGAATGACAGCCTAACATTGGGGCACATGAAACTGGAAGAATCCTTCTAGACACCCATTCACTTTGCCTTTTTCCATGTATTTGATTTTTGAATGTGGAAGGGTCAAGCATGAATTGACATGCAGAGGGAAGGAATTTGGAAAGATTACAGGAGAGAAGCAAGAAGTTACTGATGGAGTATTTGGTGTGTATTCTGAAGATGGGGCTTAAGAAAAAAGTTTATCATTATTTTCCCTTTTCTGCTCTGCAGTTTCTTGACATTTAGAAGAGTATGTCACCAATAATTCTTTCTTATGATTCACATTCTCAAACTTTGACTCACTGTGACCATCAGAGCCCTTTACCTAGAGAGTGCCAATTGGCATTATTCTGATCAATAAGGGAAACCATAATAGCTTATTTATCATAGAATTAATGGAAAGAAGGATCTCAAATTCATCTTTCTCCCTGAATACATTCTCTTTGGTTCTTTTCTCCTCTCTTTTCTTTCATCTGTTTGACCTCTGCTTCACACTTATTTTTTATGATCAAAATTAAGGGTGACTGTTAGTTGACATGCATGACTCTGAAAATAATTCGTTCAACCTTGACATCTTTCTTACACATTTGCTGTGGTTTTAATATTTCACACTTACTGAGTTTGATCATCACTTCCAAACATATATTATGGCATAACTACTATGTATTTATTAAGTAAGCATAAGGAAAAGCTATTATCAGTAACGGTAGCATCTTGTTGGTTGTATAAGATGACTGGATTTAATTCAATAAAAAGTCAAATTCAATGTATCAAACTCATTCTAGAGAAGCAAAGATTAATACCTCTTGGAAAATAATTTTAGTTGCAAAATGATACATGCTTATGAAAAAAATTGAATACTACCAGGTTTATAACAGTGAGTTTTTTCTTCCTCTCACCCTGTCTCACTCCACAGAGGTAACTACACTTATCAATTTCATGATTATTCTTCTAGATATTTTCAGTGTTTTCATATACACACACACCCATGCATGCGCAGGCACACACACACCCACGCACACACACACACACAGGAGTGTAACAAACTTACTGATATATAAACTTGCTTTTTTACTTAACATCTTATGAGTATTTTTTATGCGTGCATACATATATTTATCTATTTCACTTTAATTATTCTCCCCATTGATTCATTTAATCAATATACTATTTTTGTTTGTTTTTTGGGGGACAGAGTGTCTCATTGTCACCGTGCTGGAGTGCAGTGGCATGATGTTGGCTCACTGCAACCGCTGCCTCCTGCATTCAAGTGATTCTTCTGCCTCAGCCTCCCAAGTAGCTGGGATTACAGGCACCCGCCACCATGCCCTGTTAACTTTTTGTATTTTTAGTAGAGACAGAATTTCACTGTGTTGGCCAGGCTGGTCTGAAATGCCTGACTTGGGATCCACCAGCCGCAGGCTTGCCAAAGTGCTGGGATTACAGGCATGAGCCACCACGTGTGGCCTAATCAATATACTACTGATGAACATGTAAATAACCTAGATTTTCTTGCTGTTATTTAAAAAAAAGCAATGAACATCCTCCTAGAACTACTTATTTTAATTCTGTGCATTTACCTGTAGGATGAATTCAGATAAGCAGAACTTCTGGTATAAGGATAACTACTAATATTTTAAAATGGCTCCTTGAGACGTTATTCTCGAGTTTAATTTGTGACGTGGAAGCATTTTTATGATAAAGGTAATTTCTTTAGCACCACAGCCAGACCAAACTTGCACCAAAATTGGTTTGGTTCTGCCTTCTCCTGGAGGTATGAAGTTCCGTGGATCTTACATTTTGATTCTTCTCTCTGTGATACTAACAGAAAACAGTGTGTCCAACCAGGCCTTGTCTATCTCAAAATTTCAACTATCCAAGAAGGTGTGTGGTGAGCAGTTGTGGTAGCTAGAGTCTTTTTTTCCTCGTTCAACAAAGTCCTAGAGTCCTGTATCTTTGAAGCTTTGTGAATTCTTTGAAAACTGTGGTAGTCATGTCATTTTTTTTCACAGGCTTTATACCATGGACAGTGGATATTTTTCTTACAAGAAGTTATTTTACCCATTGAAATCAGTGGTTTTATTTTCTCTTTCAGGGCTGGAGGTGGACTTTATGGTATTGACAGCATGCCAGATCTCCGCAGGAAAAAAACTTTGCCTATTGTCCGAGATGTGGTAAGTTACAACTGCTTAATTCTCTTTGACTGCATGTGTGGTTTTTTTCCTTTACTAAAGTGTAATGTCCTTCTCATTTACTGCCTAGCCTGTAAATATTTCACAGAATAAAAGTATATGAGGCCAGATGCTACCTGCTGTTATATTTATTATTATTTCTTTAAAATCTATTAAATGGAGGAAATAACTCAAACCTTTTGATAGCTTTTGATATAAGTGGAAATTACAATTAAATTAATATGACCCTATGACCGGAGCAAAAAGAAATCACACAGCATACCAAGTCAGCAAATAGACTTTGATGTGTTCAGTGTTATGAATGACCAGAAGTTTAATTCACAAACTTGAGGCTTTATTTAAGCTTCTTCACCTTAACTCAGTGAACCTGAAATCTTTATAAAGAAAGCAGATAACATTAATCAATGCTTTATTTTATGATGTTAAAGTCACTTCTAGCTGTATTAATAAACTCTTCTACCTAAAGAAAGCCAAGGTTTTCATGCCATTAACATCGTTATTGCTTATGATCATGACTCTGAATGAATCTGTGTCCTATATTGAAATATGCTGGAACCACCTTGAGAAATGTGAATAATTGACCATAGTTTGCATTAGGTTGTAAAAAAAAAAAATCAACATTAAAAAACATCTCTTCTACCATCCAAGATGTTTTCACATTTTATAGGTATATTCTTAATTTTCTTCTATAAAAAAGTAAATTTTCTGTTGGCAACAATGTACACAATGTTTTATGCAATAATTTTTAATTTTGCTAAGAAACCCTTCATCTGAATGCCACCACTTTAGTTTTAAAATATGATCCTGACTGAAAAGATTTTGTACTGCAAAATATAACATGTCAGTACATCTAGCTCATATTTCTGTTGTTACTGTGTGGAAATAATTGTAAACCGTTAAGCTAATTTAACATTGTTATGCTCCTTTCCTACCTTTCATGTATCTAATTATTTACACTTTGTTTCCTCTCCCTTCTGGAATCTTCAGGCCATGGTAAGCACTTTTCTATTTATTTAATTAATATTTTCCAGTCTTCTCAAACATACCCTGCACTTACTCATGAGATAAAAGAGGGCAAGATAGAGAAATAAAAACACAGACATACAAGAATAAGAAGTTTGTGTTTGGCAAGAATTTCACATCTGGTTCAGTTCCGAAAGAGAAAATTATGTATACAGCTGGTGCAAACACAGACCAAAATCGAATACAAATGTAATTTTAGGGAATATATTTGTCAGAGATGAAAGATTTTCTTGGGTAAACTCTTGGAGGTAAGTCAGGGTAAATGTGAAGATGAGTGGAGAGTGGAATTCTTAGTCAGGTGTATGCTGAATTTTATTTGCGTTAAGGACTTGGTAATTCTGAGGAGATATGTTTAGGACCAGATGTGTCTACGGACGATCAAGAATGCCTTATTCCACAATGACTTCCTTTTGCTCCTAATGGGACAGCAGTTTTAATATTCTCATATGGAACTTCTGATTTCCAAAGTTCTCTGTAGCACTGCTGAGTTTCTTATATTTAATTTATTTTGGGTAGGACTATGTAGTGGTGGTTATAGTTTTGTTTTGTAGGTGCAGAAACTAAAGGGACTTGACTCTTATTTAAGATCACCCATGTTACCAGCCTAAAGTGCAGAAAACCAGTCGGGATATGACAATTCTCAGTAAATTAAATGGACAGTCAGAAAAAATATCTTGAATAGATAAGGAAGAATATTCTAGGGGACTATGAACAACGCAAGAACCATCTAATACTAATTATGCTTCAAGGCCATCGCCGAAGTCAGACTGGCTTGCTCTCAATGGTCATGTTTTCTGAAGGAATGTATCACAACCACCCTGGGGAATAACTAAGTTTGAGAAGCCTCTTGCTAGCATGAGGTGGTTAAAGGGCTGGTCATCTTGCCTTTCTGGGCCTCAGTTTCATCATCTACAAAATACAGGGGTTGGGTTTGATAAGTTGCAGGACATTTCCAGTTTTTCATTTCTAGGTAAATTACCTCATTTAATTGTCATTCACACACACACACACACACACACACACACACACACACTTTAAGTTCTGTAGTGCATGAGCAGATCTTGCAGGATTGTCACATAGTATACATATACCATGGTGCTTTGCTGCCTCCATCCCCCCATCACCTACATTGGGTATTTCTCTTCATGTTATCCCTCCCCAATCTCCCCAACCCCTGTTATTCCTCCCCTGGCTTCCCACCCCCCAACAGACTCCAGTGTGTGATATTCCCCTCCCTGTGTCCATGTGTTCTCATTATTCAACACCCACTTATGAGTGAGAACATGCAGCGCTTGGTTTTCTCTTCTTGTATAAGTTTTCTGAGAATGATGGTTTCCAGCTTCATCCATGTCCCTGCAAAGGACATGAACTCATCCTTTTTTATGGCTGCATAGTAATCCATGGCGTATATGTGCCACGTTTTCTTTACCCATTCTATCATTAATGGGCATTTGGATTGGTTCCAAGTATTTGCTATTGTAAACAGTGCCACAATGAACATACGCATGCATGTGTCTTTACAATAGAATGATTATAATCCTTTGGGTATATATCCAGTAATGGGATTGCTGGGTCAGGTAGTATTTCTATTTCTAGATCCTTGAGGAATCACTACACTGTCTTCCACACTCCCACCAACATTTTAAAAGCATTCCTATTTCTCCACATCCTCTCCAGCATCGGTTTTCTCCAGATTGTTTTAATGATCCCCAGTCTAATTGGCATGTGATGGTATCTCATTGTGATTTTGATTTGCATTTCTCTAATGACCAGTGATGATGAGCATTTTTTCATATATTTGTTGACTGCAGAAATGTCTTCTTTTGAAAAGTGTTCATATCCTTTGCCCGCTTTTCACTGGGGTTTTTTGTTTTTGTCTTGTAAATTTGTTAAAGGTCTTTGTAGATTCTGGATATTAGCCCTTTGTCAGATGAGTAGGTTGCAGAAATGTTTTTCCATTCTATAGGTTGCAGGTTCACTCTAATGATTGTTTATTTTGCTGTGCAGAAGCTCTTAAGTTTAATTAGATACGATTTGTCTAAATTGGCTTTTGTTGCCATTGCTTATGGTGTTTTAGTCATGAAATCCTTGCCTACACCTATGTCCTGAATGATATTGCGTATGTTTTCTTCTAGGGTTTTTATGGTGTTAGGTCTTAGGTTTAAATCCTTAGTCCATTTCAAGTTAATTTTTGTATAAGGTGTAAGGAAGGGATCTAGTTTCAGTTTTCTGCACATGACTAGCCAGTTTTTCCAATAGCATTTATTAAACAGGAAACCCTTTCCCCATTGCTTGTTTTTGTTGGGTTTGTCAAAGACCAGATGGTTGTATATGTGTGGCATTACTCCTGAGGCCGCTGTTCTGTTCCATTGGAATGTATCTCTGTTTTGGTACCAGTACCATGCTGTTTTGATGACTGTAGACTTGTAGTATAGTTTGAAGTCAGGTAGTGTGATGCCTCCAGCTTTGTTCTTTTTGCTTAGGATTGTCTTGGCTATGCAGGCTCTTTTTTGGTTCCATATGAAGTTTAAGGTGTTTTTTTTGTCCAGTTCTGTGAAAAAGGTAAGTGGTAGCTTGATGAGAATAGTCCTGAATCTATAAATTACTTGGGGCATTATGGCCATTTTCATGATATTGATTCTTCCTAACCATGAGCATGGAATGTTTTTCCATCTGTTTGTGTCCTCTCATATTTCTTGAGCATTGGTTTGTAGTTCTCCTTGAAGAGGTCCTTCACATCCATTGTTAGTTGTATCCCTAGGTATTTTATTCTCTTTGTAGCAGTTGTGAATGGGAATTTGTTCATGATTTGGCTCTCTGATAGTCTGTTATTGGTGTGTAGGAATGCTTGTGATTTATGCACATTGATTTTGTATCCTGAGACTTTGCTGAAATTGCTTATCATCTTAAGGAGATTTTGGGCTGAGACGATCGGGTCTTCTAAATATACCATCATGTGATCTGCAAATAAAGACAATTTGACTTCCTTGTTTCCTAATTGAATACCCTTTATTTATTTTTCTTGCCTGTTTGCTCTGGCTAGATTTTCCAATATTATGTTGAATAGGAGTGGTGAGAGAAGGCACCCTTGTCTAGTGCCCATTTTTAAAGGGAATGCTTCCAGTTTTTGCCCATTCAGTATGATATTGGCTGTGGGTTTGTCATAAATAGCTTTTATTATTTTAAGATATGTTCCACTGATACCTAGTTTATTGAGAGGTTTTAGCATAAAGGGCTGTTGAATTTTGTCAAAAGCCTTCTCTGCATCTATTGAGATAATCATGTGGTTTTTGTCTTTGGTTCTGTTTATGCAGTGGATTACGTTTATAGGTTTGAGTATGTTGAACTAGCCTTACATCCCCAGGGTGAAGCCTACTTGATCATGATGGATGAGCTTTTGACGTGCTGTTGCATTTTGTTTGCCAGTAATTTATTGAAGATCTTTGCATTGATGTTCACCATGGATATTGGTCTGAAATTTTCTTTTTTTGTTATGTCTCTGCCAGGCTTTGGTATCAGGATGATGTTGGTCTCATAAAATGAGTTAGAGAGGATTCCCTTGTTTTGATTTGTTTGGAATAGTTTCAGAAGGGATGGTACCAGCTCCTCTTTGTACATCCAGTAGAATTTGGCTGTGAATCCATCTGGACCTGGATTCTTTTTGGTTGGTAGGCTATTAATTGCTGTCTCAACTTCAGACCTTGTAATTGGTCTATTCATGGTTTCAACTTCTTCCTGGTTTAGCCTTGGGAGGGTGTAAGTGTCTGGGAATTTATCCACTTCTTCCGGATTTACTGGCTTATGTGCATAGAGGTGTTTGTAGTAATCTCTGATGGGAATTTGTATTTCTGTGGAATCAGTGGTGATATCCCCTTTATCATTTTTTATTGCATCTATTCGATTCTTCTTTTCTTTTTTAGTAGTCTGGCTAGGAGTCTTCTATTTTATTGATCTTTTCAAAAAACCATCTCCTGGATTTATTGATTTTTTGAAGGGATTTTTTTTGTCTTTATTTCCATCAGTTCTGCTATGCTCTTAGTTATTTCCTGTCTTCTGCCAACTTTTCTATTTGTTTGATCTTGCTCCTCCAGTTCTTTTAATTGTGCCAATAGGCTGTCGATTTTAGATCTTTCCTCACTTCTCATGTGGGCATTTAGTGCTATAAATTTCCTTCTAGACACTGGCTTAAATGTGTCCCAGAGATTCTGGTACATTGTGTCTTTGTTCTCGTTAGTTTCAAAGAACATCTTTATTTCTGCTCCAGTTTAATATTGTTTGAGTCCATTTTCTGGGTGAATTGGATGGTTACCAAAATGGCAGGTCCTTACTAACTAAAATATGAACACTGATAGCCAATATTCTTACATTTTCACCTTTTGGTGAGCAGTATGTGCATGTGAACCTCCCTATATATTAATAAGTCATAATTCTGTTTGTTTTAGACCCTGGCTGCCCGTAAATCTGGACTCTCCCTGGCTATGGTGATTAGGACATCACTAAATAATGAGGAACTGGTAAGTACAGTGTCCATTACTAACTAGATAGTATCGCTCGTAATCATAAGGAGGAAATTATTCTGCTTGAGCTAATCATCTGGGACGTTTAGTACAATATTCCAGAAATAACTAGGAGCATGAGGCAAGCCTGACTCCCAGCAAACTTCCTTAGGGCATCAGCCAAATCATTTTCTTCTCCTCAAATACGTATGAACCTTCCTCTCTTTAGAAATCTGTTTGATTCTAAATAACTTCCCTGATATTCTTCCCATGGAAAAGTCCTACTGATTTTTTTACATAGTTTAAGTTTTGCCTCTTTTATGAGGTTTTCTCCAGACATCTTCCTCCCCTTCCAGTTGAATGGCTAGTTTCCTGCTCAGGACTTTTATAGTGTTTAATCATGACCTCCATAGTGTCGTATGATTAAGAGTGAAGTCGGCTTGGTTTCAGTCCCATCTGTGCCACTTAATTAGAATTATTATATCCCATAAGTTATGTAACTTTTTCAAGCATGAGTTCTGTCATCTGTAAAGTGAGATGATAAGGAAACTGTGAGAATTAAGGAAGTAAATAAATGTTTAACATTCAGCATAGCTTAGGCCATAGTAAATACATACAAGCTTTTGTTTTATTGTTTTTAATCACAATTATTTTGATTATTTTGCATACACCTTTTCTTTTAGACTCTGATATCCTTGAGGGTAGCACTATAACTTGTTTCTTGTTCTTGTTAAATGTTTCTACCGCTATTGCTTAGTACAGTCTGGCGTGAGGTAGATGTTTGTAAATTCTTGTTGAAAGAAAGAACCAGACTGATTAGAAGATACAATTAGGCTGTAATTATCTAGGTCAGGGATTCTTAAATGTGGCTCACTGGAACACTTGAGGGAGCTTTAAATCATACAGTCCTGGGATCTCACTCTCAGTCACTCTGATTTAATTGGCTTTAGGTGTAGCTTGGGTAAAGGAATTCTTTAAAAATTGCTATGTTTTCTGTCTGGCATGTTCTGCTCTGGTAAATGTGTCTTGCACACTCTGCTGGGGATTTACTTGAGACAGTTTATCTGTGTCCCTCGCTGTGCTTGGAAACTAGTATATCCTGCCTTTGCAACTTCAGCAGCTTTGTCATTCTTACAGAATAAAAATTCTGCCAAAATTATTATATTACTTATTTTAACTTTCTATAATTTAACATTTAAACACCACTGTTTATGTCTATATCCTTCGTTTTCTTCCTTTTTCTGTCATTGTAATCTTTCACCCAAATGTTCATCTTTCCTAGGTGTTTCCATCAGCAAGCTCCCCACCCAATATATATCAGTAAAACAGAATATATTTATTTGACTATCTGGAGGCTACAAAAAGTTGATACATTTTCTGTGGTGCCACAGGAGAAAAAAATGTGGCTGCATTCTTAGAGTATTGGCCCTTCTTTCTCTCTGTCTCTCTTTTTTTTTTTTTTTTTTTTTTTTTGAGACAAGAGTCTGGCTCTGTCATCCAAACTGTAGTGCAGTGGTATGGTCATAGCTCACTGCAGCCTCAACCTCCAGAGTTCACATGATTCTCTGCCTCTGCTTTCTTGGTAGCTGGGGCTACAGGCATGTGCTACCATGCTTAGCTAATATTTTAATTTTTTTTGTAGAGACAGGGTCTTACTATGTTGCCCAGGCTGGTCTCAAACTCCTGGGCTCAACTGATTCTCCCACCTTAACCTTTCAAAGTGCTGGGATTACAGGTGCGAGCCGCTATGACCTCTACCTCCTTATTCTTATCTGTTAGATTTATGATATTATGTAATATTTTGAGTATAGTTTGGGCCCAAGACAAAGTAGGCATCCTCCGGTGTATGAGAAAGTTACATATTGCTTGTTAAATCTCAAAGCATCTACTCTTTTTTTTTTTTTGAGTATATGCTAAAGGCTAAAGAATTTTATTGATAAATTCCTACACTGTTCCTTTTCTGTGTTTTAAAACATGGTATTTGATTTGAACTATGAATATTCACTCCTTAGAAAAGTTAACAGGAAGGCATAGAAATTAGTGGAATGCTACTGTATTTTCTGAGTCCTGAACAAGGAACATATTCTCACTTTAAGGTTAAATTATCTGTTGATCTGCTTTTAAACAACTGTAAAAAATCACCTTTACTCCTTTAGTTTCAGAAGTCCTAAGTTAAAAAAACAAAAACCTGTCTGTGTTGGTGTTGAGTGGATGAACAGAATCCATCAGCTCCCTCTCAGATTCATAAAGCCCATTTCCCTGGGGCCCATGCCTCAAAAAGTTAATGAACTATGACTTCTGTATGACAGGCATATTAAATGTCACTCTTGACTAGCTGTCTCATTCAGTCATTACACAGGCAACTAATACAAATGCTGAAGCAAATAATTTGCACTCCTTCGTGCTGAAAATCTTCCTAGGCATACTTGATATAAAAGCATAAAGTATTTGCTTTTATGTGAAGGGAAATTGCTTGGTGATGTGGAAAAGGTCAAATGGTAGCACTTCTATTTTAATTAAAAAATGTACAGTTTTAAGCTCAGTCTTCTCTTCCAAGGACGGAACGGAACAGGCTCTAATGCCTAATGCAGGATCACAGTGGGTCACCTGGCACGGCCTCCTCCACTAACGCTCTGCTGGCTGTGGGTGAGGCACCGCCAGTGCCCCCATCCATCACCAACTCCACCTTACCCATGAGGCGCTATTAGGACTGATCGAGAATCTCAGTTTAATAAGCTGTTAAGGACTATACTTTCTGAAAATTTTCATCTAGTTTAGGAATATATGAAGGACCAACCTATGTAGTATCTAAATACCTTAGCAGTCATCTTCCTGGCGTTCCACTATCCATCTCTGCTAGTTTCACAGGCTGATAATTTTTTAGGTGTGAACCTGACAGTGGGGCAAGCAAAGTAGACCCAATCAGTAATTCAATACATGTTTATTGACTATCTGCTATGTGTCAGGCATTGTTTCAGACTGGAAATAAAGTAGGGAACAACTGAGCCAAAAATCTCTACTTTCATGAGGCTTATCATACAGTGAGAAGTGGACTGAGATATTTAATTTTGTTCCCACTGTCGCTCCAAGACACATGGAAGCTTCTAGAAGGCAAGAGTGCTTAAACCAAGAGTCTCAGATGAGGTTTATGGGATACCAGGTAGAGGGAGGAATGACAATCACCAAGTGTAAGAGGGATCCTAGAGCTCTGGTGGTTCATTCTGGGCTGGTGGGCATGTTAAGGCTGGCAGGCTTACAGGAAGTATCCACTCTAAGTAAGGGGAAGTTTGTCTGGGATTCAGACTTGGTGAAAGGGACTGGCAAGAACTAGGTAAGAAGGCAATCAGGAGGTCAAACCTGAACCCTATTACTAGCATGACACTAGAAAGATAACATGGAAGGAGAAAGCTGCTCAGAACACGCCTCTGAGGCTTTGACTTTAATCAGAGCTGTAGGCTCAATGCACACCCAGGTACTTCAGATCCCTGCTCAGGAACAGGAGCCCTTTCAGGCCACCTGGATAAGTTTTGAACTTGTTTGGACTCACCCTGAATTAGAATCTCAGCTCTACCTCTTACTAGCTTCAACTACTTGTTTCTTCTCAATATTCTTCACCTTCTGAGCCTAGCTTGCTTCATCAATAAAATGAAAGTAATAGTTTGTGAGAATTAAAATAAATAACTTAGGTAGAATGCCCTTTGTTTGGTCAAACCCTTCCCGTGCCCCCTTTTCTCTTTACACAGTGGCTGGCATGGCAGGTGGCCATCAGCACAGTTGGACAGCAGCTTGTGATCAGGTCTGCAGAATACATGCTGAATCTAATGCCTCCCCACCCTCTTCGCACCTTAGGGTAATTTTTCTTTCCAGGAAGTACTGACATGGAAGCCACCAATAATGACACCGAAGTAAAGATTATCTCTTGTCTGCAAGCATTGCTATTGGTTCCATTATTCTTCATAAGCATGGGCTTTTGCTTGAGATCCATATTGGTCTAGCTCCACAATTTACCTGCTGTGGGGCCTAGGACAAGTTACTGAAATTCTCATGTACTTGATTTTTTATATGTTTACTAATTATATCATATTTTTACATCTACTTTGCATCATAAGGTAAAAATGGCTGTTTTTTGTGTCCTTGAACAATTTTGGCATCAGTATTAAAGTAGCTTAATAAGATAAGCGGGAGTGAGTTCCTTTTTCTCCTTCTCTGGGATGATTTCTATAAAATCAGTTCTGTATCTTGAAGGACTAGCAAAAGTTGTTATCCAAAACCACCTATATGGTATTTATTTTTAGGGTGATTTTTTGACTATTGAATCAACTTATTTAATATAATGTTATGTTCTTTAAGCATTTGTTCTTGAGTTAGCCCAGACAATTTATTTTTTCAGCAAGTTTTCTTGTTTTTCTAAAACTTTGAATTTAATACCATCAAATTGTTTATATAATTCTATCATAATTTATGTAAAAATGTATGCCATTTTATCCTATTATTATTTACTTACATTTTCTCTCTCATTTGTAAAATCAGAATCACAGGGAATTTCTCTGGCTTTGCTTTGTTGACTCCATATTATCTCCTTGTTTTCTATTTCATTTATTTATGCTCTTGTCATAAGGTGTGGCTTACATAATCTCATGAGGACGATTATTTCCTCCACAGGATGAGGAAGAAAATAGAACATTAGGTTAGTCACTGGTTAACATAGTAAGGAAAAAAGAGAGAAAGAATGTGGCAGATAGAGGCAGATCAACTTTGTTCCTCCTATAATTATTAACAGTTGGTAGATTAGAATATTGATGGTCTGAAAACACTAGTTATTGCTCTTGGCAGGAAGCCTTATTCCTTAATATCTCAGGCTCATTTTAGTTTCCTCAGGTAGTGATGAATAGGAAAGGCAATTCATTTCCTTCCAGTGGCCTAGTTGTTCCAAAAGTGATATATCAGTGCAACTTACTCTACATTTATTTTTTGGAGAAGAAAGTTCTAACAAAATATTTGTCTAGGGTGTGAGCATCATCCCCAGTGTAATCTATATGTTGTACTTGCCTACAAATGCTTACCAGAAGGTGAAAGTATTCCTTATTCATTTCTGCATTTTAACAAGATGTCTATACACAGCAAAAATTACCTTCTTTGTTGGAATCACTTAGCAATGTTAAAATTATATATATATTTTCTAATTGCAATAGTATCACATCCTGTTTCTACATAAAAAAGAATACAGAAAGGCTGTGTATCAAATAATGCCTAACTTTAAAAAACTGAATTGAATATTTTTTATTACTTATATTAGTGCCTTTCTATTTTATAAATTATTTTTACAATGAGTATGTACTGTACTATAATATTAAAATACATATTGTTTAGGAAATGTATTTTTGTTGTAGAAGATTTGAAAAGTTGTAGAAGATTTGTAGAGTTTAGGAACATTCAGAATAGATTATCAGCTGATGAGAACACATGGACATGAAGAGGGCAACAGTCCACATTGTTGGAGGGTGGGGGTGGGAGGAGAGGGAGTGGAAGGGAGAATTTACAAGGGAGTTTTTGCTGTATACCATCTTCTAATAAGATGCTGGGCGTATACTTTGCCTTAAAAAGAATGTTTTTGTGTGCCATTTATTTTAGAGTAATTTTCAGCTTTGATAACATGCTCATACCCTCAAAAGTTAAGAATGAAACACATGCTCATACCCTCAAAAGTTAAGAATGAAAAGGACTTATCATTTCCCTACAATGATGAGTCCTTACTAGAGGGGATATATACCCTCTAATAGGTTATCTGATGTTTTTATGTTTTTCTCTAACTCTAATAGCTTTTGAATATTGGAATTTGTTTCAGTGCCCCATTCAATTGATTTTCAGTGGGCTGTCTAGTAAATGATTCATGTTTCTGATTTTTGGAAATTAGCTTCACTTTCCCTTTGCATGAAATGAATTATGGCTCCTTATCCAAAGCAAACAAAGCATTTTAATGAAATCTGCTCAGCTCTTTATTCAGAGCTTTTATTTGTTTTTCTCTAGTACGTTTAATTTTTTTAGAAAGTGTTACTTATTTTTATGACTCCTGCTATAACCTGCAGACCTATAGTACTGACAGTATATCTCTTGACTTTAATAAAATGAAAGTGGACATAGGGAATTAGATCACATATATTAATCATTTACTTAATCTTGAAATATGTGAATAAGTTCATGTTCAAAAACAAACTTATTCCCAACTCTACTTTCTAAATTTATACAAAGTACATTTCTTACTTTTTTTGTGTTCATTAGCAGACTTTGTTTTATTCCCACGAAGTATTTCATGTAATTAGGGTATTTTATTTTTCTATTTTTATTATTTACTTCCATTAAAACAAACAAGTTGTCTGAGGCATTTGCAAATATGTAAATTACTTATCTTCCTAATTTTTCATATAGACCACAAGTACTACATTACACACACACACACACACACACACACACACACACACACACACGCAGACACCCAGACACACACACACAGCCCCTCAGCCCAATTTGGAGATTCTGTATGTGGGTAGGTAATGAAAAATCTGTTATGCCAAGGATTATTTCATTTATTTTAATGATAGTGAAGATACTCATCACGCTAGGTATTAAAAAGGAGGCAAAGATGAATAATACATGCTTCTCATTCTCAAAGAATTCTTAATTCTTTATAAGACATCTTCATTATGAAATGAAGCCAGGAGATTTGCCTGGTTCAGGCACTCTTTATTGAAAAGTGATGGATCCAGTTGTTCTGTCTGTATAAAACCCTAATATTAAAATCTTTTGCTTGAGTGATGCCCATATTTGACCATACTGCTGCTCTGTAGACTCACTTAAAGTATAAAGAGCTCTGGATTGACCAGCCCATCATGAATAGCAAGGATGGATCTGGCTGTTCAAAATTAGAAACATTTTTACTGAAACTTCATTCCCTGGTAGGGGACCTCCCAGTACTATTACCAAACATATTCTGGGAAAACACAGGGTGAGGAGAATGTGATAATAAAGGGAAATATGCTTTTACCATACTGTGGAATTGAAAGTTAGTCATTTCAACACTGTGGGAAAACTACTCTGAAATGAGATTTAAAGATAATTAATGCAAAACATAAATGCTTCCCTTCTAGTATGATTTATCAGCTAGGATCCTACAGGGTTTATGTAAATATCCATTCATTATGCAACAGGCAGTTGTGTTAAATTATCTTTAAATGTAACCTCTTGAGAGTGCTGGTCTTTCTCTAAGGAAGTCACCTGCTTCGTGGGATATGAGAAGCATAGAAAAGGACTCATTTAACCAATTTTCTTTTCTGTTGGCCTGTGTTTGCTGTCGTTGTTGTTGTTTGAAAATCTACCATCAATACTGTGTTTATTTAGTGTTTTGAAGCCTATAGATTACTTCTGTTACTGTTGTATAATTTGATCTTCAAAGTAATACCATTTTAGACAGAGCGGACGAGAATGAATCTTAGAGACTTTACATCTCTTTATAGAATACAAAACTCATAAGTGGCAGAACGTTTATTCATTAAAAAATATGTATCCCTGCTACATTCCAGGGATCATGATCAGCTGTTTAGGCACAAAGGAGACGAAGCGGGAAGACAGTTCCTGCTTACAGAAAGCCCATTTGAAATATCATGTGATTGGGCCTATGCTAGGGAACTCAGCTCTCCTAACTACTTGTTTGGTAGATTTTTTCACCTCACTAATGGCTTATCATTAGAAAGTCCTTCCATGTGCTATTAAAATGTACTTCCTTTTCAAATATAATCACCATGGGAGAGTGCCTCATTTGACCTTTATCTACTACTGATGCTTTCTTATGAATTAGGTGTTAAGATCCTTCACAGGTGGTAGGTGCTAAAAGCAATTTCCTACAGATTGAATTACAGAAGCTTTCCTTGCAGGGTGAGAAGCAGAGAGGTGTTGGAGTCAGGAAATAATGGGCTGGGTAGAAAGTAAGAGTGGCAGAGGTGTGGGGTTTACAGCATAGCAGGGACCTAGGCATTCTCAAGTAATTAGACCTTTGTGCTGCTGGGAAAGAAGCTGCAGACAGTGGAGCACAGTCCAGTCTGGAAGATTAGGGAGTTCTTTGTGCACAGGTTACTGTATTGGACCCTAAAACATTGAGAGAAGAATAAGTTAGCATAGTTATTATGCTTACTGTCATGACTTGAATCATTGATCAAGGGGCTCTCTCAAAATAGCATTTTCAGAAAAAAGTGATAAAGTGATTGGTTTGTTTCATTTTGAAAGAATTCAAACACACTGGCTTGGCTTGCACTGGTAACTTCTCTCATGTTCACAGAAAATGCATGTCTTCAAGAAGACCTTGCAAGCTTTGATCTACCCTATGTCTTCCACCACCCCACACAATTTTGAGGTCTGGACAGCTACCACGCCCACGTACTGTTATGAGTGTGAAGGGCTCCTGTGGGGCATTGCAAGGCAAGGCATGAAGTGTCTGGAGTGTGGAGTGAAGTGCCACGAAAAGTGTCAGGACCTCCTGAACGCTGACTGCTTGCAGAGTGAGTACTTGATTTGGCTGAAAAAGTGGTATGCAGAGCCTGCCTTATTCCATCTGTTTCATGTTAGATCACTTCAACTCTTGCTGCTTGCCAACAAATCCTGCCCATTCCCCTCCCTACCACTTACACAAAGGTATACATACTGTCTATCAAATCACAGTTGATGATGCATTCTTACAGCGTTGAACTAGGCACTATTAGAATCCTCAGGGTGAGTACCAGGGGTGAAATCGCACTCTTTTCAGCATAAACCTTCAAAGTGACTTCCTATGTATTTTCTTACTCATACGTCATAACAGCTACATGAGGTTAGTGGGAATATGTAAAATCAGGTTCCCCAAGTGGGACTCAAGACATGGTCCTGCATGTGCAGCAAATGGAATTCTTTTTTGAACCTCTTTGGTGCCTGTGTTGCAGGATCCATGTCCTTCTACAGTTCCTGCACAGGCCTTGGAAATGGGGTGTCCTGGGTTTGAATGCCAACAACAAATGTAACTTACCAGATATGTGACTTTAAGAAAATATTTTAACTTTTTTGGGCTTTATTTTTCTCCACTAAATGGACAGAAATAACAAAATTTACCTTAGCGGGATATTGGAAGGGTTAAATGTAATAGTCTCTGCTAAGAGCCTAGCACGTGGTAAATGCTCAATAAATATTAATGAGTTCTCCATCTTTTCACACTCTTGAATGGGCACATGCCACTTTCATTTTCATAAGAAGTTACCTTAAACTTTTCATTTCCAAAAACTCCTTTATTTGGCACTTTAGGTCTAGAAATACTAATGCATCACATTCTAAAATACACATAATTGACTTTTAACTGTGGTATTTATTTGGTATTGTCACTTAAGAAATGCCGAAAAATTACATTTAAACATGATTTTCATTAGCAAATCATATTTTTTTCACACCTGAATGTTGTATCCTCTGTTTATTGTTTATATGGATGTAGTCAATGTAAGATATGTGGATAGCTTCACATTGAAGGGAGGGGACAGGAAAATATTAAAGTTTAAATCAGAAATGCTGTCACAGCTGATTTGTTATAGCCACAATCACATACATTCTACAGTTTTCTCTACCTGCTTAGTATTCTCCATACATGATCAGATCAGATTGAGGCTGTGTTAATGTTAACAAGTGCATATTTTAAGCAAAAGAAGTGGTATTCTTTATTTGAAAAATAAAAATTATATTTAAGAATAATTATTTTAAAGGAAGGGAGATTGACTTGATATTACCCATTCAATTTACATGCGAAATCTCATAATCCAATTAAAATTCAGTTCAATTGTTTAAAAAGTGAATTTTGAACAGACATCTTATGAAATAAGCATGTTAGGGCAATGACATTTAAGAAAATAGAAAACATACTGTCATCTAAAAACAAATGGCTTAAATCCCTTAGAGAGAAAATGATGCCGCTCATACCTGAGAAATGAATCATTCTTCTAGTCTTTCAGAAAGGAGAGATGCTACCCATTCATTAAACTTTAGAAATATGTTCATAATCTATTTCCATTTCTTAAAACATTTATTTTTTTATACTGGCTAAATAAAGTATATGCAATCCAAAATTTTCATTGCAATTATTCATTTTAATGCACGTTTAAATTGGAAGAATCAAAAATAGTGCAGAACAGTGAGAGTGGGTATATATGTGCCAGGGAGGGTTTTTTTAAAATCCATTTTTACTTTTTCCCTAAAATTGACACTCTCATATTGATCAGAAAGAGATTCTACAAGTATGTATATTTAACTTCAAAAATTTCCGCAATAACTATCAATAAAATTTGAAATTCTCCCTATAGAATCAGTGACATTACCTTAAGAAATTTCTCTTACTTGTTGTTCTAAGGGAAAAAAATTGCAATGGTGACACTATATATAAAATAATTTCATGAATGCCAACACTGAAGAAAAGGAAAGAATAAAAAGTTAAGAGAAATCAGAGTTAGAAGATTTAGCTAACTCAGCCCCCTCTAAATGTAAGAAGGTTCTATGATTTTCTTTATAAAATGGCCATTCAATCTCCTAACATCTCGAGGGAAAATTTAAACCCTTGGTAGGCAGTTTAACTTATGACTCAAAAATGCTAGTTCATAAATCAAAATTTAAGACAAGATGTGTTTCCTTGTAATTTCTACCCATTAAGCCATATCTTACTTCTGGCGAAAATATAAATTCTATTATATTTGATAGTTTTTCAAGTATTTAAAAGTATGTATCTAGAGTTTTTCAAGTACTTAAAAGTATGTATCTAGTTTTCTATAGGTTTCTAGTACTCTTGTTATTTTGCTAATTCTTTTCTGAATAATTACAATCTATCAACACACACATGCTAAAAGAAAATAAATTCTCTACATGTGGTTTGACCAATGACCCATGCAAAAGAGAGGGTATGTAAAGTTACTTTAAATCAATTTCAGTTAGGTGTTTCTTTACTATGAAGTCTTGGTTTTGTGACTGGTGTACTTCCAGTCAAGTGGAATTAGACCAGGTGATAGTGAAATCCCACTCACTGCTCCAGTGCTTCCTTGCGGGTTCAGAGATGCAGGGAAATCTCCAGTCAATTCCCCAAAGAGCTTCATCTAATATCCTCTATAGCTAATTGTACTTGATGGTAGTTCCTAGATTTTACTACCTTCCTAGCCCAAAACTGACAGCCACAGGGCGGTGAGAAGGAGACCAAATGGAGACAGGGAGAACAATGAGAAAAGAGACCTGATTTATCCTTCTTTAATAAAATCATTGGCAGCAGACAGAGTTCACTGGCTTTCTCTTTAATTACTTCATTTGCGTCTTGTCACCTAAAAAGACATTTTATTCTTTTGTGGAAAGAGCATTGGTGGCAAAATAATTTAATTATAATAAATGGAGGAGCAGGTTGTGACGCTGAATTATGTTAACATAACCTGTAAGGAACTTGCTGTGGCGCGTCAGTGGTACTTTTAGACTAGAAAAAGCCATGTTGGCTGGGATGAGGGTTGTGTGCAGAGTGAGTCATATGTAAAAGAGGCATCATATACAAACTATTTTCCTTGATTGTCTTTTCAGTGTAGAAAAGAGACAACTGCAGTGATTGGGGAAAAAATGCAAATAGTCATGGCACTTTCCTTACACATCTCCAAAGAAGGAATCCCATAGTCTTACTGAATAAGCATTCTGCCTACTTTTAATTCCTAACTAGAAATTTCAAGCACCTGCATGAGTCCAGAAAATATTTCACCAAACGTTTAGCAAAGAAGCATTTTGTGAGGTGTGTTCTTTAGTTCCACATGCTTCCCACTGACATTATGTTCAACATATGTGTCCTAAATAAGCAATTAATAAATTCATAGCATTAATAAAATCTGGCTAGCATACTCTTGTTTGCAAATTAGATATTGGTTTTTCTTTCTTTGTTGCCCTGTTACCACATTTTGAAATCATATTTTAAGACAGTCGAATATAGGTACATATTGAGCATCTATTGTGGGTAGGAGCTTTATTCTGGGTTTTCAGAGTTGCGAAGAAAGAAAGTGGTATTTTTCCTGGACTCCACCTTGTTTTCTAAAATATAACTTAGATGAACAGATGTGAACATGTATTTGGAAACTTTTGACATTTTACTCTTTCAATAACAACTTTACAATATATGTTTAAGCAATGAGTACTCAGGAAACTTAGAAGAAGGATTTCTTTTATCCACTGCTAGTTAACACACATTGAAGCAAAGGAGCTGCTTAACAAATGTGGTTAAACTAATGAATGAAGGAACAAGAACTATAGCTAGAAATAACCTGTAATGATTTCAATATCATCTTTCCATAGAAGCCTATGGTATTAAAGGAGCTTCAAGATTAGTGGATTAGGGAACTCAGTCTACTGCTTTGGCTGGGTTCAGATTTGGTGTCTCATCAAAAACAATCAAGTGACTAGCGTAGGCAGGATTAGAACTCAGGTCTCTGAACTCAGCTTGGTGTTCTTTCATAACTTACAAATAAATTTGCAAAGTCAGTTCTTGGGGGAGGAAAAGGAAAGTTACTGAATTTTATTTTTAGTGCTGTCTCATTTTTCTCATAGGGGAGAAAGCACACATGGGACCCCTGAGTTAGGGATACTCTGTGCTGCCTGAACTGCAGCTTCCCAAAATTCCTTGCCATGACAACTCCTTAGGACTGGAATTCTCAGTGCTCCTGAAATGGGAAAAGTTCCCTTGTCCTCCTTTCAGGGTGAGGATGGGGGTGCAGCTTGCTTCTTCAGTGCCCTACTTCTCAAACCTCTAGGGGAGCATACAGATGGGTAGAGAGCCCCACAGCAGTGTCTAGGGGTGAATGGTTACAGCTGAATCCGTAGTGGGTGTGTGTTACAGGGTGCTCTTGTAGATTAGCTGTCTGTAGGTGGCTTGTGTTAGTCAGCTAAGTTAGACCCCTGCCTTATTTCAAGGACAGAGGGCTTTCTGTATCCTAGGGTTCTTGTCTTGGTGAGTCGGAAGAATTAGATCACATGTGGGCTTAGAGAATGAATGCAAGGTTTTATTGAGTGGAAGTAGCTCTCAGCAGATGGGGGAGCTGGAAGGGAAATGGTTTTCCCCTGGAGTCAGGCCGCTTGGAAGCCCGGGGTCTCCTCTGATTGCCACAGGCCTAACTCCACCACCACGTTTTCCCAGTTGATGGCAAGCCAGCATGCCAACATCTGTCCTGTGCTCTTCCTCCGTGCTCCCCTTGGTGTCCTCTCAACATCCTGCCGCTTGTGTCTTTTTCTACTGTTGTGTTGGTCTCGACGTCCAGCTGCTTGTGTGTTCCTCTGCTGATGTGCTCCTCTCCACATACAGCTGCCTGTGTATCTGCCTGTCAGAGTCTTGAAGTTTTTATAGATACACGATGGGGGCCTTGTAGGCCTGGGTGGCTTGGGGAAATGCAACATTTGACCAGGAAAGCAAAAATGCCTGTCCTCACCTAGGTCCCAACAGGCCTGGGGGTGGAGCTCTAGACAGGGACCACGCTCTTCACCA